GGAAGACTCGAGTTCTGGGTCTGTGGAGATGTCAACAAGGTCAAGATGATGTTTGTGACCATGTCATCAAAGTGCCCCTCCTATTTTACATGAATCATTTGTCCAGACTTTAGACAGGAAGGGCTGTGCTTACAGTTATGGCCATTGTGTTTCTCATTAACATTTATTGATTACTCATTTTACAACCACTTGTAAAGGAATAAAGAAGTGATTTGTCTCTAATGCGATCCTTTTGCTACTGTTTTTCTTTTTTTCAGAAAATCTCTTGGCAAAGCATCCACAAGATCCAAAATGTCAGTAAAATCTGCCAAGATGTATTCTTCCCTCCAGAAAGGGGCCGTCCTCTGCGATCCCAAACCGCAACAAGTGAAGAAGATTTTTGAAGCTTTGAAGAAAGGGCTTAAGTAAGAAACATTTCCAAAACCAATCATATGCATTTGGGGGAGTTTACAATATTTTGTTATGTCTTATTTAATTTCACCAAAAAGAGCTGAGAATAAGTAAATGAATTTCAATAATGGAGTCACTTTTTTAAAAAAATATATCAAGATTTTTAATTTTTTTAATACAAATTATATTATAGGAACAAAACATTGCCCGTGTCTTTTCTTTTACATTTTACATAGTCCATTTTACATCATAGTTTTGTTTTCATTTTCAGACAAATTACTCTCTTCTATTATTTTCATCTTTGTACTTATTTTTCTTAATACATAAACAATATCTTCAATTGTCCTTTCAAAGTTACACCAACTTTCCCATTTCTTATTTTCTCCATTTATATATTTTACCATAAACAACATATATCTTCTAATTCAATTTAAACAGAGAGCATTTCTTTCAATTTTTCTACAATTAACAATATACTATAATTTCTTTATTTCTTAGTTAATTACATGACAATAACAATCTTACTACTATCCTCTTTGATCTACTATTGTAACTCTTTCCCCCTTTCTTTCTCTTTTAACCAAATAATGGGGTCACTTCTGATGTTATGCAGTATAGTCAGTGAAATTGCTTAACACAAATTGATTCCCAGAAAATTAAAACATCCAAAAAGTCTTTCACAAAAGGGCTTTAGTTCAGGGGTCCCCAACCCTGTTCAGAACTGGGCTGCAGTGAATGTGTGCACACAGCTCCACTTGTACACGCAGCGGGTGGGCAATCACCCACATGTAGCCTCATTAGTGCAAGCGCCGGAAACATGTGCTCGCTGCTTGAGCAAATGGAGCTACATGTATGCAATCACCCGTCGCTCACACGGAATCATCTCTCCCCCACCAGAAAGATTGAAGACTGCTGCTGTTCTGTACCAGGGGTGTCAAACTCGATTTCATGGGGTTGTGTTTGACCTCAGGAGATCAGAGTGGGCATGGCCAGTTTGCCGTCACTCATGTTGGGGGCGCCTGTGGCAGCCCAAGTGGTCTGCCAGTGAAAAACAGGCTCCTGATTGGCCCTTGTGAGCTTGTGATTGGCCCTTGTGAGCGCCGTTTTTGGCTGCAAGGGCCTCCTGCAACCCTCTGCCAGGGAAAAGAAGCTCTGTTTCAGCTGACAGAGGCACCACGGACCGGTCCTTCGCTGCTTCCAGTGTGTCCCTGCGGGCCAGATCTAAGCACCCCGCGGGCTGGATCCAGCCCATGGACCTTGAATTTGACACACTTGTTCTATGCTATCAAAAAACAAGTTATCTGCACTGATTGGCCAGTTTATTTGCCAATAATCAGATGCACTTTTGTGGCATCTACTGTGTGCGGTAGTGTCGTGCTGGAAGCTTTACCTCACAGCAGAATTATATTGCAGAGATGCAAAGATGGCCTTGAGCAGTGATATCACTGAGGAAGAAGGTTTACCATTTTTGGTTAGGTCATGATATGGACACCCTGATGAGATTGTCCCGACAACAGAACTTAATTCCGTGTGTATGTTTATAACAACAAATGCCAAATTTGACTCAGCATACTCCTCCATGGATGTTATCTTAAATAAGATAGCATAATTTGCTGTATTGCAGTGATTATTTATTTTGGATTCAGACTTGTAGCTTTCTATTTATGATTGTTCTGATTTTTTGGGGGGAGCGGGAAGGAATTGCCCTAGTCCCATGGCAACTGGAGACTCTGACCTTAATGTGAGGGAAGGCTGAGCTTCGCTTGCTATCTTATGCTTCTACCAGAGCATTGGTTGCAGGCCTCCATTTTGTAGGCACTTCTTTATTTCAGTTCTGTCTTCAGGAACTGGAAGGAAAGTTAACCAATGCTTAATCTTTTCTGGTTTGGGTAACATGCTACACCATGGGTAAGCTGAATTAAAAGCAAACCATGGTTACTAATCATCAGCAAGTAATAATTTGCAAATAAATCTGCCTTAATCATAATTCAACCTATATGATCAGTAGTGGGCAGCTGTTGTGGAGAAGTCCTATTTCATATAGATTATCATTGATTGATTAGATGCCATCAGGTTGTTGTTAACTTTTAATGATCACATAGATTTTCTCCATGATGATATGTCTCTAACATGAACTTTTGGGCCTTCCAATTGTCATGTTGCTGAGTATATCCATCTTGCTATTGGTCATCCTTTTCTTTTTTTGCCTTCCACCTTTCCCCAGATATGAGTCTTTTCCAAAGAGCTGGATCTTCATATAATGTGTCTAACACAGGATAATTTGAGTTTGGTCAATTGTGCCTCAAGAGAGAATTCTGGTTGATTTAGTCAGTGATCCATTGGTTTTAATTTCTTGGCTGTCTTCCATAGGTATTCTCAGGAGTCTTCTCCAAACCGAAGTTCCAAAGCATCAATACTCTTTTCATTTTTTTAAAAAAAGGCATGGAATAGTTTTTTTTTTTAAAAGAAAGGAATTTTAACAAACATCTGTCAGTATCTTTATATCAAACCAGGGTGTAGCCACACTTGGAACACTGCACTTAATTCTACATAGAAAACAAGCTCATGTCTTCTTTTCCTACTGTATATCAAATAGATGTCAAGCTATCTTTCAGACCTAAATAAATCACTAATGGAATGTTAAAACATTTGGGAAAAGCCATTCTTTGGATGCAGGTAGCTACTTCATTTATATTAGCTGGCACATTTATGGCAAGAAAAATTTTCAACTCAATAAAATTTAAGACTGCATTTTGGACATCTGTGTGCAGAAATATTTAAATTAGACTTAGAGATTACTGTACAGTCTTGGCAAAAGATCAAATGGCTGAATTTTAGAGGAACAATGGGCCTCAGGTGGATGGGTGGGACTGCAGTGGTTAGGGGAAAAATCCCTCAAATAAGTTGGAAGAAGCATGCACTGATTAATATAAACACAATGAGCTGCTCAGATTTTGCCTCTTGTATAATGCTGACTGTATCCTTTTTAAATACATGAAGAGAAAATTAAGTTATTTGTGTCTGGTCTAAATTAACCCACAAACTTATAGGAATGTAAGCCAATGGGGGTTTTATCCTTGTGGGCTGCTGTAGGTTTTGTCTGCAACTATTGTACTGATGTACATATGTGTCTATATATGTACTTCTGGTGATAGTTAGTATGTGTCTGGACCAACAGAGTTAAGGGACCAAAATAAACAGGATAAAGGCTCCACTGCAAAGCAGTAAATAAACAGATTGTTATCTCCTGCACACATCTGAAAACTAAACTACTCTCAAGCTAAGATCCCATTGTGTTTAATGGAAGTGTGGTGAGAGACTAGAAAATGTCTTTTTTTCCCTCCTTGATCTCTGAAAATGGATCTGGTCTATATCTAACTTTTCCCTTTAGTGAATATCTGGAAATGCATCAAACAGAGCTGGATTATTTATCGGAGTGCCACCGAGACAGAAGAAGAAATTCCAGATTGGTAAGAAGCTTCTTTTTTCTTGAATTTAATATTAAGATGAAACTGAACAGGGTCACACATAGGTTGAGGAGCTTTGGTTGGCTTAATCATGGCTTATTGTCTAGCCCAGTCACCTGGACTTTCACATTGTGCTAAATCACTAGGTATTATGAAGATAATCAAGAAATGGTCATTTAAAAAGTTCATTGAGTTTGCCAGAAAAGTTAGGGCATCTGTATTCCTTTTTCATTAAATGCACTTTATGCTGTTTTGGCCTTTTGGACATCAGTTTGCACAATTGGATTATTGATTTCCCAGTGGGCTGTTTTGAATGGCCTGAGTAGAATGTCCATTGGCCCCTTTTTCACTGCATTTAACGTTACTATAATTTTTCTTTTGTCCATTGCAATCAATGTTTGAGGGGGTTATTCCTTCCCATGTCCACCTCTGGAAAAAAAAATACTTTCCCCCAAATATTTTTTTTATAACGTAGAGATAGTTAGACCTTTAGTTTCCCCTGTGTGCAGCTTTTCTTTTTATGAAACCCTGAGACACAGTAATTGTAATCTGGTGTGAAATGCACATATTTGGCACAGAAGGTTCCTGAATTCATGCATTCAGATAGAGGAAATAAATGAGACTCTTAGTCCTTTTGAACAGAAAGTCTGCTTCGGCTTATCCCAAACTTTCTTCATTTCAGTAGAACAATTTAAGGCAAAAGAGAGTTGTTTTATTGTTGCTGTTAGGATATTGAGAGAAGAAAATCCTTCCCAATGTATTGCAAATCACTTTAAAACTCATGGCAGATTTCAAATGTTTTTTTCCCTGTTCATCCCTGTTGCAGTTTACCTCCTGAATACCAAAGAGCAATGGAGTTTAATTCTTTTAACTAGGTTTTTCACATCAGATCCTCATTAGGTTGGCTTATGAAAGTTGTTGGGTAATATATCACAAAATTTAAATTGTCAAAAGTGGATTTTTGGCTACCAAAACAGTTCCTAACTGCCCTGCTGTGAATAACATAACAATAATGCTTAGACTTATATACTGCTTCACGGTGCTTTTACAGCCCTCTCTAAGCGGTTTGCAGAGTTAGCATATTGCCCCCAACAATCTGGGTCCTCATTTTACTGACCTGGGCAGGATGGAAGGCTGAGCCAATCTTGATGGGAATCGAACTGCTGGCAGTCGTCAGAATTAGCCTGCATTACTGCATTCTAACCATTGCGCCACCATGACATTTGATTGCATCCACTTTGTTACTCTATGATTACGGAGCAAACTCAGTTCTATGAAGTGAACTGTTTAATCTTAAAGCACAAGGCAAAATATATTGCTATGCAGCTAAGTCACATATACAAATAACCTGTTAAATTACAAAGCATTCTTTATAAATGTGTTCTCTGCTCCTTGAAAAGGAGCTGAGCTCAGGCAGATCGGTTGTGACCAATTGGCACTCTCTTGGTTGAATCTTATGGAACCTAGATTTCTTCTTGCACAGATGACTCATCCAGCAGTGAATAGCAATTGTTCTCATGAAACAAACAGTATCAACCACTTATGAAAGTACAAAGACTGTGAAACAATTAAAGTGAAAATAACTGTAGTTTGCCAGTACATTGAGTATCTGGTTCTGACTTTTTAAAAATTCTTGATTCTCGCCCTGTCCCTAGCCTTAGATTTGGTATCTGAAGAAGATAATACAGATAGTCTTTGACTTACAACCATAATTGAGCCCAAATTTCCTGTTGTTAAGTGAAAAATTGTTAAGTGAATTTTGCCCCAATTTACAACTGTTCTTGCTACAGTTCTTAAGTGAATCAATGAAGTTGTTAAGTTAGTAACATAGTTGTTAAGTGAATCTGGCTGTTGTGGTCCACTGGCAGCCTGCGGAGCTGGCAGCAGAGTCGGACAGTGAGGAGGTTGAGGAGGAACATGGGAAAGTCCTCGAATCTGGGGAAGGCTCAGACAAGTGCTCTGCGTCGAAGGCAGAGAGGGGGAGCAAAAGTAAATGAGCCTTTGTAGGAAGCAACTTTGTTTGTTATGCTTGGTTTAAAGTCTGAAACTCTATTTTGACTCTGTGCTCCGTGTGGCCTTGCAAAGCTAATTGCCAATTAGGTCTCTGGTAGTGTTTCAAGGGAGATAAAGGCGGGTGCTTATCAACCTTATCCTGAAAGACTTTGGCAGACTTCTGTCGGACTCTTTACAAACTATTTGTGACTCATTATGGACTGTGAATGAACATATTTCACAGCCATTGAAATAAAAAGAAGGTTTTTGGAATGAAACGTGTGCTTTTTACTGTCTCAGGAAGCCTAGGTCAGAACACTGGTTTCCCCATTGACTTTACGTGTCAGAAGGTCACAGAAGGAGATCACATGACCCCAGGATACTGCAACCATCCTAAATACAAACCAGTTGCCAAGCATCCAAATTTTGATCACGTGACCATGGGATGCTGCAATGGTCACAAGTGTGAAAAATGGTCATAAGTCACTTTTTTCAGTGCCATTGTAACATTGAACGGTCACTGAATGAAATTGTAAGTCGAGGACTACCTGTATGGAATATGTAAAAGCAAGCAATGTGAACAAATGGCATATAACCAACCAATAATATTTGAATCCTTTGTGTTTATTTCTGGATTAAGAACAGCAATGTGTGATTCTCTCTTTCATAGAAAGAGCTGAAATAGTTGGTCTGCATTTGATCTGTGCATTAAATTGTTGCATTGCTTTTCAGGGTTTCTACTATGATTTGGACAAGGTAAGAAATTGTCTTGGCAATGGCTGAAATGTAACTCTAACATACGCTCCCTTAACTCTTTTTTATTACCTGTTTTTCTTGACTATTTTTCTTCTTGTAAGATGGTTGGTCCCTGGAGATATACTGTGTTTTCTTTTCAGGAATCACACCCTATGTATCTGGAATACATTATTCAGGTTTCCATTTATTAATTTAACATTCATTCAATGTGAGAAAACATCTGTTAGAAATGGAACGTTAGTGTTAAAAGACGGAAGGAAGCAATAGGGACGGAAGACAGTGAAGTCAGGAGGAGGAGGCTCATCTTCAAATCAAATATGGTCTTTGATCAGCTTTAGGACTCATTTTATAAATACTGGAATATTGATCCAAATTTATCTATTTGGTAATGTCCCCCCCCCCTTTTTGGTTTAGTTTTATAATCAGGAAGATTGATTTTTAGGATTCTAGTCTACACAATAGAAGCTCATAATAATATTATTAATATTAATTAATCTACAGACCCCTCACATCCTGGACATAAATTGTTTCAACTTCTACCCTCAAAACAACTCTATAAGGCACTGCACACCAGAACAACTAGACACAAGGACAGTTTTTTTCCTAAATGCCATCACTCTGCTTAACAACTAATTTCCACAACACTGTCAAACTATTTACTAAGACTGTATTACTATTCTTCTTCCTACTANACCTTGGAGGTCTTCTAGTCCAACCCCCTGCCTAGGCAGGAAACCCTACACCACTTCAGACAAATGGCTATCCAACATCTTCTTAAAAACTTCCACTGTTGGAGCATTCACAACCTCTCGAGGCAAGCTGTTCCACAGATTAATTGTTCTAAATGTCAGGAAATTTCACCTCAGTTCTAAGTTGCTTCTCTCTTTGATTAGTTTCCACCCATTGCTTCTTGCTCAGGTGCTTTGGAGAATAGTTTGACTCCCTTTTCTTTGTGGCAGCCCCTGAGATATCAGAATACTGCTATCATGTCTTCCCTGGCCCTAATCATCATCCACTAATCAAATGAGGGATCCTTGGTGCTCTCTGAGCTTGGTTGTTTTCTTGCAGACATTTCATTACCCAAACTAGGTAACTGCATCAGTGCAGGGAACAAAAAGACCAAAACACCTCCCCATCAGCAATCGTCATCCAGATGAGCGTAGATTAACTTCAGAATTAACAACAGACTACCAATTCTTCAACGCTTGCATTCCATTCACCCAAAAATGGAATGCGAACACTTTGAAAATTTTTGGATTAGCACCTTTTGCAATTTGGCACGAAGTTCTCCCCTGTTTTTCACCACTGCACACTGCATATATAGTAAAGAAAATATTTTCTTGATAGCCATCAATTTTAATATTGTCTCACTTATTAGTTTATACCCAAGCACATACTTAAGAAGTGGCCTGTGACTTGCAACAATAATTCACTTATCTCTTAAACATACAATTTAGTATGCTTCACAGTTCAAGTTTTCCTTGGTCAATAAAACTCACATCTCAGGTTCCAATTTCATTGTAAAAAGAGGAATTCATTTTCAATATTGGCACCAACTGTAACCAGTGTTCTAGCTTTGCTTTGGCAAATCCACTTGTAAAACAAGATCGACATTCTTCAGCAACTAAAGGAATGCCTTCTGACCTTGAGATATTGTTAACTGGAATTTAGATTTCTGTAAATTTTTGAGCCACGTTAATACATTTTTCTTGGCAACTTTGTAGAACTGGGTTACCATTGCCTTCTTATGAACTTGATAGAGATCCTCCTTCTAGATCAGGGGTATCAAACTTGATTTCATTGATGGCCACATCAGTGTTGTGATTGAGCTTGGGGGGGGCATAACAACGTGGGCAAGGTGGCCATGGCCAGCATGACATCACTAGTGTTGGGGGGCACCTGTGGTGACCTGAGCACTCTGACAGCGAAAACGGGCACCCAAGCTATGTTTTCGGCTGCAATAGCCTCCTGTAACCCTTTGCAGTAAAAATGGAGTTTTTGGGGGGGTGGCGGCCCTCGTGAGCTCAGTTTTCACTGGCAGAGGCACCGCGGGCTGGTCATTCACTATTTCCAGGGCAGCCTTGCAGGCCAGATCTAAACACTCTGTTGTTCGGATCCAGCCCCAGGCCTTTAGTTTGACAGCCTTGTTCTAGATAGATTGACTTCCTCAATAACAGCAGAGCTTTAGCTGCACGTATTTCAATAGATTACCCTGGAATCCATTCCTGTCTTTGAAACTTACCAACTGGGGGGGATCCTATCCTAGTGCTTGTGCTCTTGTTGGCATCTTGGGCAGAAACGCTGAAAGCATTAGGGCATCTTTTCATATCAAAACATTAATTATACAAATAATGCTCGCTGGGCCTTCATTTCTTGAACTAAGACAGATCTATCGTAATGATGGGCTTGATCATGCATTTTTGTATTTTGTATGTATGAATGAAGTTGGCATAGGCTACGATCAGGAGGATTCATTTGCTGGAGAGATATGGAAAGAGAAGTTTTGGTATTAACATTTCAACTCGTTTGCTGGGCCTCTAATAATTCGTGGGGCATTTAGTTGAAAGGATGATTATGTATTTGGGGATCATCAACAATTTATGTTACTGGTTTCTTTTCTCAGAATCTATGAATTTAGGTTCTTACTTGTTTTTCTTGTGTTTCTTTATCCAGGATTGGTGGGTTATGCTCGTCTCTGTCCAGGTGATCAATATGAGGTATAGTAAATAATAAATAAAGTAAGATTCTACATTTAGGCAAGAAAACAAAATGCACAGGTACAGTATATATGGTGCATGTGTATGTGTATGTGTGTATGTATACATACATACATACATACATACATACATACATACATACATACATACATACATACATACATACATACATACATACATA